CACATCTGTCCTCTACTTGCCATTCATGGCTCACTTCAAGTCCAAGTATTTGATGTCTTATCTGATCGGTCAGGGCTTGAGTGGACTCATCCCCAGTATTGTGGCCATCATTCAGGGTATGGATAGCATTGCCATTCAACAGATTGTTTGCCATTTATCTTACGCTTTGCTTTTATGCACTATTGCACAGGAATTGGAGGCAATCCTGAATGTGTTGCGCCGACAGCCGGAGCTAATACAACGGTCGCGCACTACCCGGAGCCGAGATTCTCTGTCAGCGTATTCTTTATATTCTTATTGGTTATGGTTTTGTTGAGTTGGTTTGCATTCGTATTACTCAATCATCTGAAGGCCTGTCAATCAGAACGGGTCACACATAAGGACGACTCGGAAGTGGAGAATCAGTTGAAAGCGGTGACCGAAACCGTCAGATCGGACTCGAGTTCAGATAAGGGTTCCGATGAATTGCAACTCAATTCCGAGTCTTTTCTGAACCGAAGTAATGATCGAAACATAAGCCGAAATGCATTCGCCGGTCTTCTCTTAACTCAGGCCTACATCTGTGCCCTCACTAATGGAGTTCTTCCCAGTAATTACTTTTAATTGTATTTCTATTAATTAAACAATTTTATTAATTCAATTTTTATGTATTAGGTATTCAAAGCTATAGTTGTCTGCCTTATGGAAACACTGCCTACCATTTGACAGTCACTCTGTCTTCAATGGCGAACCCAATCGCCTGTTTTGTTGCCTTTTATATGAGCGCTTCAGTCATCAAGAAGACACTTCCGGCTGTCGTCGGTGTGGGAACTCTTTGTGCCGTTTATATCATAGTGACCGCAGTCATGAGCCCAACCCCTCCTTTGCAAGACTCGACGTCCGGCAAAGTACTAGTGATTATTGTTTGGATAGCATTCACATCCCTGTTCTCGTACTCCCGCGCATGCATTGCGACCATTCTTCGCAATACAAGTACTGGTCATAAATCGCTGTTCTTTTGCGGAGTCTTCACGCAAATTGGTTCCACAATTGGAGCCGTTTTTATGTTTATTTTAACCAATTTTACCGCTATTTTTGTCCCATTCTTTCCCTGCAAATAATGGTTTAATTGTTTTATATGTACTTAATTTTAATTATTTATTAGCCAATAGTTGATGTGATTGTTATCTCAGAGAC